TTCAGTTTTATGGAAAAGCACCTGTTAACTGTGACACTATTTGATGAGATACCTTCCTAGTTAAATTAGAAGTGAAAGCAAGCCAGACATGGTGGTACATGCCTGTAATCCCAGCACTCAGGAGGCCAAGTAGGAGGATGGATGTGAGTCCAAGACCAGCATGGGCTACAAAGTCAATTCAAGGACAGCCTGAACTATATAGTGAGCCCCTAGCTCAAAAAGACAAAAATAAATAAATAAATAAGTTCTACTTAAAAAGAACCAGTGAAAGCAGGAGTTAAACATCTTTGTCTTTTCACGCCACTCTCAATAGTTTCTGCGGTCCTCAATATAAATTACTTTCTGTTATTCCAGAGGGAATAACAACGGCAGAGGTACAGGGACAGTTAGTGTTGCTCATGTGAAGAGTTTTCATAGCTCCCTAAAGTTAGGGTAGGGAGGCAGGCCTGGGTCCCACCATCTGGCTCTCCTGTGATCCCTCAGCTCTCTTGGACTTCTCTTGTTCCTTAGGGATATCTTTCAGGTGACTCAGATGCTGAAATCCCCTACAGATATTTCCTCCTCTAGCCTTTTTCCCGGGTAACTCAGGATTTCATCCTATTCTACTTGTTATGATTAAGAACTGGTGGTCAACTTAACACCAGCTGGATTACATCAGCATGACACTGAGCAAAGATGATCCACTTGAGGAAAGTTGCCAGCATAAATAGGTGGAGAAGGAGAAGGGCGTTAAGGCATTAATGCGTTGTTGCACTGAGGCATTGTGGGTTCTCCTATGAGTTGCTGTTTGAGCTGTTGGTTCTCTTGGAGAAGCTCTGGTCCTCACATCAAGCATTGCTTCCTGGCTCTGGAGGGGAAGATGTGTGCCACTTGGTCTCCAGCATGAACTCGTAACGCTGGCTTCCTAGCATGTACTCAACTGTGCTTGTTGTTGGAGGAGCTCAGGGCCTCTGTGTTGCTAAGGATGGCTGTGGTGCCTTTCAGGACATCCCTAGTCTTTGTTGTGAGTGTGACTTCTTGGCTCCAGCATAAAACCCTCATTCCACCAGCACAGCTCCTTCACCCCACTGGCATGGACTTTCTGGCTTCCACCACTGACCTTTGGACCTTCCCAACACAGATCCGAAAAAGAGACTGGTGTAAGTCTTTCTCATGGGCTCGGGACCTCCAGTTGGACTCATGGGAGGCATTGTCATGAGCTCTGGATTTTCATCTGGACTCATGTGGGATATTGCTGTAGGATTTAGGCCCTTGATTAAATATTCTGTATCTTTGGTGTTGTGGATAGATTTCCTGCATTCTCTTGTGTTAACTCTCGGTGACCATTATAAAAATAATATTATAAACTCCATGTCCTGATTCTAATTTCCTCTGCACAACCCCTAACTGCAACACTACTGGTCTCTAAATATCTGAGTGCTCTAAAGTCCACTATTGGACCACACACTAACTGAATAAATCAGACTACTAAGCATTTCAATAAGATACATTCACCAAATATTAAAAGCAAGAATTTAGGAAATGGTGATGGTACCAGGTGACAAAATGCATGGTTCAATCTATGTGCCTACCAAGTGTGTACCTTGTGTCCACCTTAAAATGTCGCCATGACAACTGGAATACCCACACACACAGTTGTGCAAGCAAGGCACAGTGACGGCCTGCTTCATGGAAACATCATTGTGGTGAACATTTCCAGGCATGCACTCATATTTGTCCAGGATTTCTTAATGCCAACACCACTAACATTCTGGGCCATGTAATTTGGTATTGTGAAAGATGCTAACATGCACTGTAGGATGCTTACCAGCACCCCTGATCACTACCCACTAGATACCAGTCATGCCACTCATTGTGACAACAGTGTCTCTGGACATTATAGATATCTTCTGGAAGCTACACATGGGGATAAAGAGTCTCCTTTGAGAACCACTGGTTTGGTCTAAAGCTGTTTTGTGTCTGCTTAATATTATTTAATCATATATTTTTATTTAATACTCAAAAGGTAAAATAAGGTTTTAAAGGTTAAATCTTTGCAAAAGCAATAAAAATGAAATATTTTGCATCCAAAGTAGTGAAAATGTAAGCATTTGACACAATTTACATATTTAGTTAAAAATGTCAGTTTGAGGACAGCTCTATAGTTGACTGAATTTTAAGGAATAAATTTGTATAAGGTGCTCTTCAAAGCTTAAGGTAAAGGATGCAGATAAAATAAATTCAATTATAGATTAATAATTTCAGATATTTAGATTCTACTTTGAAGTAAATTTCTACATTGTTTAAATTCAAATTTTTATCATCGTCATTTAGATGCAAGAAATTTGTGGAAAGATGTTATTGCAGAAACCCAAAAGCAAAATTGGGAAAAATCGTATTTTATTTATTTTTAACTTTAAAAAGGATAAAATCAAGGAAAGTAAAACAGAATGCTTAAGTTGCATTTGGCAAGTTCTTTTTTTGTTTGTTTTTTTCTCTCTCTCTGGTATTGGGGATCAAACTTACAACCTCGTGCTTGCCAAGAAGTGCTTATGCCACTAAGCTAAGCCCAGGAAAGTAAGACAGAATAAAACCAATCAAAACAAACCAATGTAAGTGATAGAGGACTTCAAAACAATATGAAATCAACAACAGTTACCATAATGCTTCTTGTCTTCAAAATAGCTGCAGATACCTTCAGACAGTAAAAATTAAACAGAACAGAATGGAAGCAATAAAACTAAAAGAATGTAATAAGAGACTTCAAAATAAGACAACAGTAAATCCAAATGGCTACCATAATATATCTTGCTATCTTTGAAATAGCTGCCTATGCCATCAGATATAACAAAATCAAACAAAACCCAACCCAACAAAACAATGAAAATGATGCAAGACTTCAAAATAAGATGATAGGGGATTAACAATGGCTGCCACTTTGAGAAGTAGATTCCCCCTCGATGCCACACTGTGTACCACTATCTTCTGTATGGATGATCAGACACTGGCCCTAGACCTGCAAGGTCAGTGAAATACGAAAGCATCACAAGCATCAAATTGCATTTCACCTCAATAGTTATCACTGCAGCCTGTTTCTCTGGATCAGCCGGTTGCTTATGAGGGGTGGGGGAATGGGGTCTTCTAGTATGCCAGCTCACATACTGGAAGGGGCTGGGGTCCCGTTGTCTCCCTGCCAGCCGTGGCCCACTCATGGTGCTGGTTCACAGGGAGGGCTTGTTTCTTGATGAATCCTTGTTCTCTCTCCCCTCTGCCACTGAAAAAGTGTAGTTTATTAAGTTATATTTGAATAACTGTTGGAAATTTCCCAAATTTGGTTTGCTTATAGAAAAGATTAAGGCTGGCATGACTATATCTGGCTCACTCTTAAAAAAAAATCAGAGCAACAAAACTTTTTACTAGACATTTTAAACATAAAAAATTTTTTTAAATCATGGAGAGAATTCTTGTGTATCCATCATCCAACATCTTTGCTCACTACCATCTCAGTGTCAGCTCTGCTCCATCTCTGCCCCTCCCAGGCCCACTTCCATCACCTCTATATTTCCTTGAGCCAAATCAACTTATCAGCTTCTTGATAAAGTCTGCTGGTCGACTGTCTCTGTATTCGTCCATTTTCCACAGCAATAACAAAATACCTGAGGCCACAGTTTTAGAGGCTGAAAGTCCAAGGAGGCAGTATGGCGCCAGCTCTGATGAGGCCCTGTGGCTGTGTCACACCATGGCCGACACAAAGGCAAGAAGAACGTGAAAAAAAGTTGTCACACAGTGAGACAGGAAGACAGAGCCTTGCTCTTTTTTTAAACAACCCTCTGGGTAAAACTAACATCCATTTTCGCCATGGGCATCACTCTTAATGACCTGATTATTTCCCATTAGACTCTGTCTCTTAGAGGTTCCACACCACACTCCAGCATATAAACCACTGGGGCCTAAGTCACAGCCAAACAACAGCACTGTTCCATATGGGAAAAATGGGCACATGTTTGAGTGCTATCAATAATGTCATTCCAGTCCCTTTTCATGATGGCTCTCTGCTGATGTGTTTGGGTGTGGCCAAATTCCTTTTATTAATCAACCCATATTCCTAAACATTTACCCTGGAATCTCATGATAGAGTTCTGAATGAAGAAACATATTTCTGGCCTGCAATATGTGCATGAGTGAATACTTGATCCTGTATCACATTTTAAAAAACAATAGTTTTCTTCCCAGCATAGGAGACTTTGAATATTGTGAATTGTGATGCTGTGATTTGTTTATAGTCTGAGGAGTTAAATGTCTGAAGTTATTAATCTTTTGTACAATAAATGTTAATGATTTCTATCAGTTTCCTTATATTTGGCAAGGAGAAGAAATGTCCTTAAATGGAAGAAAAGACTGGTAGACTCTAGTTATTCTCACCTTCATTCATTCATCCTCATAGGCTCCCTCCTCCAGCTCCTTCCCACTTCTCCTCCTGTCTTCATCTTCATTCTCCCTCTCAGTGGTTTTAGCCCAGCATGTGACTTCTGCCTAGATAGCCAGACACTGCATTTAACAGCTGCCTAGGTCTGGCAGAGTGACTTAAATTCTTAGTGATGGAATGTAAGCAGAAATGATCTAATTTACTTAAAAGGAAATTGCACTCTACTGTATCCTTTCCATGAGGAGATGGGACTATGAGTTTGGCTTCGGGTCCAGACAGTGAAGGGCTTTGGAGAAGATGGCAGAGCCGACCTACTAGCCTGAGTCCCTAGATGACCTCTAGAAGCTCTCACAAACAAGCAAGCCACTCTTGCTTTGGACCATCTTGTTAAAAGGCTTCCACCTGTACTGTAATCTATAAAAGAAAAAACTCCTCCAAAAGTTTATCATTTTGTTAATTTTTTGCTTCATTTTGTTACTCTTTTAAAAAAATAGCTTTGTCATCTTTTTTTAGTGTCTTCTCCAAAGAGGGTAGGATTAACCTACCACCAAAACAAAACCGATTTAGATGTTGGAACAGACAACAGGACAAACTCCAGGAGGATGTGTTAAGATTTAATGGGATTTTCTGGTGATATCCAAGCAGAAAAAGTTGGCCCAGATAGCAGTAGCAAGTCATGAGACTGGTTTTAGCTTCTGTTGTTGCTGGGGTCGGCTAGTTCTGGTGCAGGGCCAGGTCAGCTGTCAGTATTCAAATGTCAGAAAGAGGTTTCTTTATAGTCCTGAAATTATATCAAAACAAGAGCCTGGTAACCAAATAGGTAGAATCTCCAGAACCACTTAAACTTTTGAGATATGATCGAAATATAGTGAATAATTTTAATAAATTGCTATAGAAAAAGACACATTGCCATTCCTCCCCTTGAAAATATTTCCTCTTGCTTTGAACAGACTTATCCTTTTTGCCACTTTCTGAAGCAGTCCTGAAGTTCTCTTTCCCAAGTGTCTGTAGGAGGTTTTATCAAAAATAGGGTGACTGTCACAATCAAGTGCCATCCAACATAAAGGCAGGCTCATAAAAAATATTACAGTACATCTTGGTATTGTACATCTAGAACCATGTAGCTTTTAACCTTTTCCCAAGATCAAAATGATCATGAAAGGTAAATGTTTTGAATTGATTCAGGACATTGAGAAAACCATAAGTGTTCAATCAGACACAAAAGAGGACTTCCAGAACCGCGTCTGAAACGGACAAGAATGAGGGAACAAGTGTGTCCCAAGTAAAGCAGAGTATTTGGAGAGAGATTAATGGCATTTAAAAAACAATCACTATATTCTTTCTGTCACATCTTGTACTTACAGATTTTGGTCATGGCAGCATTCATATTGCCAGCACCAAGGAACGGGGTATATCTATCTCCGTGTCCAAACTCTGAAAAATATCTCCTACATGGATTAAGAAAAGTCACTGAGGCTCATGACAACTATGAATTTCTTATAATATTTAAGTGCATCTTAACTTTGCCAAAAAGTGTTAAAAAGAAAAAGAAAAGCGAATAAACTTTGAATGACAAACTTTCAGTGAATAATAGTAGTGAAATTGAAATAATATGCCATTAACAGAGACTAATCATGGCTTTGTATAATTGTGTTCCTTTCAATAGAGACAGGTTGTTAAATATATAACTAAAGGTATTTAACTCTAATATCTTTATAAAACTTATAAAGTAACCTACAAATGTTTTTTAAAAATTCTTTGTCAGACCACATGTCACCATACTTATAAAGAATTAGAATAATTATGCAAATCTAATTCTAGAAATAGCTCTGGATATCCCATAATTCCTCAAGATGGATATGCAAATTAAACTGATCATGACTGTGAATTTAAAATATTACACACTGTATGCTTATACTCTCTGTGTTACTGCAGCGTGAGTACCTACGACAGGTTCTTTTCTTTCTCTTTCTGCCTAGCACATTGTCAGGCACATGAGTCAATGTTCAAGGGCTCTATGGTGAATAAAGGAAGACAAATGCAGACGGTAATGAAAAAGACCAGGAAATTTTCATTGCGTTGCCCATTTTAAATTTCATGATTCCTACAGAATTTCTTAATGAAAATATTAGGTCAGCATTGAAACTTAAATAATTTTCAAGGCCCTTTCAAATTACAACACATTTTTATCTTCAAGAAAATGAAACCACTTACTACTGTCTCCAAATCCCAACCAAGAAACAGTGCGTGCCGTTCAGATATGATTTTTCTGGCAGAAATAAGATTTCTATACTAGGAAGTGATGACACAGACTAGCGTAATTCAGGTAACATAGATGTGCTGAGAAGACATTAAAATACACAGTTTTACAACAGTTTACAAGTTCTCCACATGTTATAAGCTGGCCACTTAAAACTTAAATTTTAACCATCTAAATTGTTCCTCCTACAAACCAATTGTAATACCTTTAATTTACCTGTCTCTTTAATGTTACTGAGACACAATTGTTGCAGGTATGCCTTGACATTGCAAGTGAAAGGTTTTTGCATGATTTTCCTATGATTTGTATGCTTTAGGCTTTCAGATATAAATCTCAAGCTGTTTATTTACCAGGATGCAGGCTTGGTTGGGTACCTACTAAACATCCCTTCCTCCTGCCTCCTTTTCTTTAAACAAAAGCACAGCATGCCTTTTTCTTGTCCCATAAATCTACCATGCCCTGTCCTTTGGGAGGTGGGTGGAGTGGGCCTTTTGAGAGGTACCTGTTGGTTTCTGTTCAGTTCTGACAGTTCCCATCAGCAGTCTCTGAGGACTCTCCTCACAGCGAGATTTTATGTAACAAACTCCTTCCGTTAAAACCATCAGATTCCTTACTGGCACTTGCACATTTGGATAGAATTGGGACAGAGCACTCTGAAGAGACAAGTCTGTAGTCTTATTTCACTTAGAGAATGTATTTTTAAAACCAATTCCAGAGTGAGTAGAAACCAGAGGACTCAGAAAAAAAATGGAAGACCCAGGAGGAGGAGGGGATGGAACTGGGACAGTTTTGGTTCCAGGCCCCTGGTTTTTCCTTTTCCCCTCAATTGGGTAACCAGAGATAGAATGTCCAGGGCTGGTTCCAGACAGTTTATTATGATGTCTGATCCTGTTATCCCACCCCCTCCATTTACATTCCTCTCCTGGCATCTGCCTTGCTCTGCCTTGCTTTATGATTCTGGGTGTTCTTTTTGCCAAGTTTCCCCAATTAGCTGGCTGACATGTTACCAAGAAAACCATACTTCCCTTCTCCCTGTGTCCTTCCATGCTGCCAGCACAAGTCTTTAAGTGGGATCCACTGGTCAGGTGGATCCACTCAGGTAGTCTCCAAGGTCGTATAGTTAAGAGTTCTGACTTCAAAAACTTTAATTATATACCCATTGAAGAGGTATTATAAAGTGTAGTTTCCACAGAACTGGCCTAGGAATAATGATAGGTAGTGTCAAAGCTATTTCATTATTTTTCTAGAGTCAGGATAACTAGTAGCAGGCAGAACAATCTGAGAGCTGGAAAATGTGAATTAAGTGTTTAACATTCTTACATTTGTGAATACAGTTCCATGATGACAAGTTTATTGGTCAAAGGGATTGGGGAGGGAATAAAGTAGGTTTAAATAGTGTTGTAGTTATTTGTCCCTTGGAATAACAGGCTTCCTTAACGTTCATGGCAGAAACGATAGTAGTATTTAATTCAAAACCTACAGTCTAGAGATATGCAGTGGGTCCTTTGGTTAGAGATCCAAAATATTGAGATAGGTGCCTGAACTTTGTTCTGTTTTGCTAACTTCACTTTATTGATAGCGTCTGACTTGATGGTTTTAAGATAGCTGTTGTGGCTCCAGGTATCACATCTTCACTCAAGAACATCTCAAAGGGAACAAAGAAGCAGGAAAAGAGGGCTCCTTTTGGACTGTGTTAGATCCCAAAATTTTGGTTCCACTTGTTAAAAAAAGCAGAAAGAACCCTTTAGATTCAGATCAAGGTTTTTTGTTTGTTGTTGTTTGTTTGCTTTCTCTTTACTCCTACAGTCAAAAGATACTGGTATGGGGCTAGGATGCAAGCCTCACATGATGAATGAGATTTTGAATCAGCTACTTTTATACTTATGCATTTATGTAGCAATCCTGAGGACTGAGCCTCAGACCTTCACACTGAGCTACCTCCTCAGCCCCTAACCCTCACTTTTTAAAATTTTTGACAAAAGGTCTCACTAAATCCCAAAGTTGCCTATGCTGGCCTCTAACTTGCAATATGCCTGCCTCAGCCTTCCAGTGCCAGGATCACAGGTGTACACTAGGACTAACACCAGCCTCATGTTATAACCTGAGACTTCATGCACAAAATTTAAAATGCTGGTAAGACACAGCCACTCATGGGGCTCAGATGTAATGACCAAGTCAGAGGCCTGAAAGGCTTGTAGGATCAGCAATGCTAAACTGCACCCCCTTCCCTATAGCGGTCAGGAGTCCACTTTTTACATCCAGTTCACTTTTGTGTCAGAAGTTAATAGGCAGCTGTGGGGGCACCAATAACTTTGGACATAAGGAAAAATATATGCAAGAAAAGCACATTGCTGTGACACAGAATGGTCTCTTCTGGGCACTGCCAGCAATTTGGAGTGGCTGAAGGACAGGTTCTAAGAGATAGCAGGAAAGAAACAAAAACAAAAACACCCTGGCATGGTAGTATGGGTCTGTAATTCCAGAACTCTTGGGAAGGTCACAACATTGAGCCCAGCCTGGGCAACTTAGTGACTTAGCAAAACCTTGTCTCGAAATAAAAAACAAGAAGGGCTGGGGCTGTAGGTCAGTGGAGAGGCCCTGGGTTCAAGCCCTAATGCCATCACCACTACCACAAAACAAAACCAAAACCAAGAAAGAGCCAACAAAAAGAAAAAAAAAGGGGGGGGGGGGAGAACAGAAGGGAAAAGGAAAGGGAAAAATAGAACCCAATATGATAAAACTGAGATTTGGCAAGGCTAAATAACAGACATTACTTATCACTATCACTATTGGTTTGTAATATGCTTCTCCATTTTGCTAGCAATTTTTTAAAACCTGAACATGTCAGGTGAAAATGTAAATAGACCCCATCTTTCTGCAAAATTACTTGATGTAAGATATGTCCAAAGACCTAAAAATGTCCATTTTAAACCCAATAGTTCCATGCTGGAATGCACAAATGAAGATTTATAGGCAAACATAGTGACAATTTGTTTATCTCATGCAGGGGGGCGGGGGATGTCCCAGAGGAACTTCCCAAATAAATAAACAAGCCATCTCAATGGACATGTTCCCTAAGTACACTGTACCTGTCCTGGTACAGTGACCAGAGTATTCAAGACAAAACTACCCTTTCTTCAATACAGACAAAGTCCATGTTAACAGAATCATTGATCCAAAACGCTGACCGTAACCCTTCTCCCTTCTCCATCACATTCTCCCGAATATTTTGTACTTTGTCTCCCTTGGTTCTTTTTCCTTTATAGTTAGCTGTTATTTCTTGCTGCTCTCACTGAAATTCTTATCTTCTATCTCAGATTTTTTTTTTTGTACCAGGGATTGAACTCACGACCTTCTGCTTGCCAAGCAGGCACTTATTCTGCTGATCTAAATCCCCGGCCCTCAAAATTTTTTTTTAATAAAATAAAAATTGAGGTAGAATTTGTTGTACACATCTCTCTAAAATAAATCATAGCTGGACAAAAGCCTGTAAGTTTGACTACAGCAGTCTGAGGAATGTGCTGGAGCGCTCCTAAATACATCCTAATAAGACTCTGCACTGACCAGGTACCCTAACACACAGATACTCAGGAGGCTGAGGTAGGAGAATCATAACTTCAAGACACCCTGAAAACTGATCGAGATGCTGCATAAGAAACAAAAAGGGGTGCCAGTGTAGCTCAGTGATAACAGTGCACATGGGTTCAAGCCTCAGTATTGAAAAAAATCTCTAGGCAGTCCAAGCAGAGCATTGAATTACTTTCTATGAATTATAAAACTTAAGAATTTCTGGTTTCTGAATTATTCTATAAAAAATGTCCTTCTATTAACTCAAGGCCATCTAGGATCAACAAGCTGCTTCAAGGGCAGTGGAGCTGCTAAGACCAGAGTGACACAGAGGTTTCCCACAAGTTGGTTTCTTTGTCGCACCTGGTGCTAAATACTCTAACACTTAGACTTGGTGACTTGCATTTTGAACATGGATCAGAGGTTAGATGCAGAGAGATTTTCTTCCTGGGTTACCTACCCTGTTTTGGGTTTGGTGACATAATCTGATAATTGGGCCTGGATGATAGAGGTCTACATGGCCTTAAGGGGAGATAGAGGGTAACTTCATGTATTTTCCAGAAAAGAGACTTATTTTTAAGGATCAACTCTCACAAGCAATAGAACAGTGCTGCCCATTTATGAGAAATAAATTAGCCATATTCCTTTATTACTTATCATTCTTGGGTGTTTTAAGTCTACTACTACTCGCAATAAATTTATGAACTGCATCTGTTTTTAATTATTTTATCAAAATAATTACTTTGCTCATGTTTGATCTAGCAACAGTTTGTTCTGTTTTGTTTTCCAGTGCGGGGCATGGACCAGGGCCTCTAGCATGGGAGGGAAGCAAGTGCCTACAGCTGAGCTACATCCTCAGCCCATGTTTATCGTTCCTTTAAAAAACAAAAAAAGTTTTAAAGCACTTTGTTTACTCTTTCTTCTCTTTAGAAAATATGTGCAGATTCTTAGCTTGTACTTTTAAGCTAAAAAGACTCCAAATGCGTTAGAAAGACTGATTTCAAATTATGAAACAAATTGAAAACTTGCACTGCAAGGAAACACGCAGTCCCAGGCCCCGGCTCAAACAACAAAACCACCACTCCAGAATGAAAATACTGGTATATTTGTGTAATGCAAAGAGAAATAGAGATATAAACCCTCAAAACGGAAGGTACATTAATAAAAATGTAGCATCTTAAGCAAAAAATATTATACAGTACTTGCAGAATGTAGTCTTCCAATTTCAAATTACAACGTCTAACAAATATACTTAAAATTATAGTCGTTATATTAATTTAAAACAACCATCAGTAGTACAGCACAGCTTAACCTAGCAAACACTGTAAGGAAATGCTTTGTCTCCTAGAAGTAGGTTATCATTATACACCATTCATTTATACCATGAACAAAACAGTCTTCAAAGTGGAAATTACTTTCATAAAACAGAATAAAACGGGGCTTCTCAAAGCACAAGCCGTTCCCATGTAAGTATTTTACCCTTCACTGGCAGAAAAATACCTAAACACTTTAGGATGTAGTATTCAGAGCCCTCCCAGTCCTTGACCCACAACCAGTACATATAAACACATGCAATACTGTATATTCTCCACACCATTACTAACCAAAACACTTTTTTACTCTTTAAAGTTACAATTTTACAGAAATGTTTCCATTCGAGATATAATACAGAAAGCAGTGGCTGCAGATGCGCCGCCAGTGCATAAATTCTTGGTAGTATAAACTAGGAACCAAATCTTCTTACTTACTGCTGAAAGAATGATTGCCTTCCTACCGACTCCCGCGTCTGTACTTTTAATATCAACACTGAACAAAGTTCTCAACATTTCCAAAGAACCAGTGCAACCCAGCTGGCCCTGCAGCTGGCAATTTAGAGGGAACCTAATACACCTTGCTCCCTTTCTCCCGCTTCAACAGAAGACCCTCAAGGAAATATTAGTTTATTCCACCGCAGTATGTAATGCCACTTGAGGTTGTCAAAAATAGCTTCTGTAGAAAACTGGCCGTGGTCTTTAGGAAACTGCATGAAGAAATTTAGCCTTTATTTAAAAAAAAAAAAAATCACACATGGAAGAAAAGAATTCAGTACCAGTACAAAAAGACTGCAGGATCTACAGTCTGGAAGAAAGTATACTCAGGAGGACCAATGAACGGTGACATCGAATTCCCCCTCCCCCGCCCCCCAAACAGGAGTCTGTACAATCCGAGTGTCTGTCCACTTCGAGAGTCATTTTGAAGGCAGCTTAGAAAAGTGAAAAGGGAACAGAAGCGAGGTCACTGTCCAAGCCAGCCGGGAAGGCTGGACGGCGAAGGCGGCTGTCTTCACAGGCCGATGCCTTTCAGGTCGCAGGGCAGGCTGGCCTGCGTGGCCTGGGGGCTCTGCCTGCAGGGGAACTGGGCCCTGAAGCAGTCCCTCAGCTCCCTGTTGAAGAGGAAGCACACGACCGGGTTGATGCCGGCCTGAGCGAAGGTCAGCCACACCGAGGCCGTCAGGTAGGCCTGGGAGACGGCGCCGGGCCGCACCAGCACCCGCAGGTAGCTGGCCACGACGTAGGGCCCCCAGAGCAGCAGGAAGAGCAGCGTGACGGCGTAGAACATCTTGCACAGCCTCTTCTCCGTCTTGAACTCCTCGAGCACGAGGAGGCGGCGCGCGCCGCGGCCCGGCCCCGCGGGTCGGATGCCCACGAGCGCGGGCGGCGTGGGCCCGCGGCCGAAGCCCGCCGTCCAGTTGGCGGCCGCCTGGCCCGTGGCGCCGGGGCCGTGGAAGGTCCAGTCGTGGCTGACGGCGGGCACGAGGCGCGCGGGTCGCATCTTGCGGCGGTCGTGGATGAAGAAGAGCAGGCGGAGGTAGACGAGGTGCGTGGCGCCCACCACCACGGCCAGCAGCAGCAGGAAGCCGAGCGCGCCGGGGGCGCCGTCGGGCCGCTGCTCCAGGGCGCACGGCGCGTCCTCGTCGTCGCCGCCGCCGCCGTCCAGCACGGGCGGGAAGGCAGCGGCCAGCGCCAGCGCCCAGGCGGCGCACACCAGCATGGCGGCGCACGGCCAGCCGGCCAGGCGCTCGGCGTAAAAGCGGTGGTGCGCGATGGCCAGGTAGCGGGTGACGCCCACGCCGAGCAGCAGGAAGGCGGCGTGGAAGCAGAAGAGCGCGGCCAGAAAGGCGAGCAGCTTGCAGCCCAGCGCGCCCGGCGGCGCCCCGGTGGCGGCCGCGGCCCTGCGCGCGGCGAGCATGACTGCCGGGAGGCAGGCGAGCGCGCGCAGCCCGTCGGCCAGGCACAGGTCGAGCAGCAGGTAGTACGGGGCGCGGTGCAGGCTGCGCTCCCGCACGATGAGCAGCGCGAACAGCACGTTGCCCGCCAGGCTCACGCACAGCAGCAGGCTGAGCGTGGCCAGCTTGAGGCCCAGCGCGGCCGCCTCGCCCTCGCCTCCCCCGCTGCCGCCGCCGCCGCCGCCCTCGCCCGGCTCGCTCGCGTTCGCCATCGCGCCCTCACCGCGCCGCGCGCGCAGCCCCGCCGCTGCCTCCCCGGCCCGCCGCCCCCGCAGGCCGAGCTCCTTCCCTGGCCGGGGGCTCACCCCGCGCCTGCCCGGCCCCTCCCGGGCGCCCCGATCCGCCGCCGAGTCGCCGCCGCCATCTCAGGAATGGTGCGCGCAGGAGGCGACGGCCACTCCCTGCGCCCCGGGCGCCGCGGGCTTCACTGCGGACAGGGCCGCGCCGCCGCTCGCATCCCCCCGCATCCTCTTTCTCCACCTCCTCCTCTTCCTCCTCCGCTGCCGCCGCCGCCGCCGCCGCCGCCGCCGCCGCCGCGCCTCTTGGCTCTGCCCCCCGCCGGGCCCGTCGCCGCCGCGGAGCCCCCTCCCCTCCGCCGGAGCGCGCAGCGTGGCCGCCGCCAGCCCCGCCGCCAAGGCATCCCGCGCCGCCGGGCCCGGCTGGGTTGGGGACTCCGCCGCGACATCTGCGGGCCCGGGAGGGAGGCAGGGCCCAGGACGCAAGGTGGCGACAAGGCGCGTCTGGCCCCAGGTAACAGGGGGTCACGGTGATGGCCGTGAGCGGGGGAGGTTGCCTGGGATGGCAGGGCCAGAGGCCTTGGTGAGAATAGGGACCCTGGAAGAGAGCTCATGATAATGGTAATAACCACCGTTGTGGTCACAGGTCCACTCAGAGTTGAGCCCTGGTGTGGGTAGCAGTGTGCTGGGAGATTTACAAGCACTTCCCTTAGCCATAACTACAAACTTGGTCCTGTTCTGAACCCCCGCTGTGTACCCAAGGATGCAGAGACTTGGAGGTCTGGGAATGGAGGGCTGGGAAGCAGCAGAGTTGGGACACCAATTTCACCTGGTCCGATTTCCAGGGCTGGACTCCCTGCAACTCTGCAGCCCGCCTGCTCAAACCCATCACAGAAATAAAGCATGTCCTCTTGAGGAAATCCTATGCACCTTCTTTCCCGGATATCTATGCTCTTGGTGAACCTGAAAGGGCAGCCCCTCTTTTCTGTTCCTCCGACGCATTGAATTCTTCTGGCAGACCTTGGCACACACTAGTCTCTCTGTCTGGACCAGTTCCACAACAAAATCATCTTCAAGGATTTCTGACTGTCCCGCCTTACTCTATCACTGTCCTTGTTTATTTCCTTCTTAGAATTCATATATATATAATTTTTCCTTTAAAAATCGTGACTTGGTTATAAGTCGCTAAGCTCCCTGAAGCCAAAGGACCATGTGTAGTATGGGATTTTTCCTTTTTTAGTACCACTGCTTCCTGGGCTTAGTATAATACAGCCAGAATTAAGGAACATGTTGTTTCTCAGTTACATTCATTTTTTTTTCTTTTATGCAGAAAATTATTTTTTGCCTGCCTCCTGCACATGTGGCAGGCACTTCCATGATCATTTCCAGGATGGTGAAAGCTCATAGAGGGTCTGGACTGTCCGGCCAAGCCCCCATTAAAGTCCGTAGGCAATAGGAGCCCTTGGAAAGTTTTGAGGGGTCTGATATGATGAGAACTGTGTTACACACTGGCACTCATGAAAGAGGGACCACCGGACAGACCCTGGAAGTCTAGGGTGGAGATTGAAACCACATAAGGAAACCACTGTGGTCCTGTTAAAATGTAAATTCAAATTCAGTAGATTCCAAATGGATCTGCAGACTATATGGATTTCTCCTCATTTGCTGGGTGACACTAATACTGCTAGGCCACTGTCCACACACTGAGTGCCAAGGCTGTGAAGGACAATAGGAACGTTCTTGTAGAAGCCTAAGTGATGGCTAATGAACTCCTGATTTAGAACTCCTAAGTAGCCAGGGGCGAATGACTGACCAAATAGATCTGCAAGTCTTTGTTAACATAAGAGAAACACAGTTCAGATACCAGTTAGGGATTACACTTTGATAATAGCAACACTAAAAAGTATACACGAGTTTATTTTCCTAATGAAACAAAAATGCTTGGAGGACAGTGGTTATCACTGATTTAGCTGCTCAAGGACTGAGTCTCTGAAAATCTTTCAGTTCTTTCTTCATGATCAGACAAGCTGCAGACACTCCAGTCATCAGTTTTACATTCCAGGCAAAAAGAAGAGGGAAGAAATAAAAGTGTTCATGCCATCTAAGTCAGCTCCTCTCTGAAGTACTTTCTAGAATCAATACATGGTGCTAATCACGTATTGTTGGCTACCCACTCTCAACAATGGAAAGTGGGAAATGATTGTTTCTTTGCTTAAAGCCAGACACATTTGCTACCCTAGAGCAGTGGTAGCAAATCATCTGCTGCAGTGGGCTGTTTGTATCATTGAAACTTCTAAAAAGTTCACCAACACTGTCCTAGACAAATGAAATTCTGCCGGACGTGGTCTGGAGTCCCTAACCTTTCAGTGGCATCTGCCTGGCGAAGGAGTTGATGTTTTGGGTTTTGTTTTATTTTTTGTTTTTCTGTTCTGCGACAGGGTCTTGCCATGCAGTTCAGGCTGGCCTTGGGCTCACTTTGTAGCCCAGGATGGTCTTAATCTTGCAGTGATCTTCCTGCCTCATCCTCCCAAGTGCTGGGATTACAGGAGTGTGCCACCACATTTGTTTTGTTTTGTTTTGTTATGAGACAAGCTTTCACAAAGTCACGGAGTTGGCCGAGCTGGGCTTAAACACGTGATCCTCCTGCCTCAGCCTCCCAGGATGCTGGGATTACGATTATGTGCCACAATGCCTGCCTAGGAAATGCCTTCTTAAACCTATGCAGACACTGTCTTTGGGCTTTCTATGGTAATCTTAGTGGCGGCTTGCATTTACAGAGTACTTGGTATGTGCAAAGCACTAGGCTAAATACTTGATGGGTTTCTTAATTTGATTTTGTCAGAATCATATGTGTTACAGTATCCACTTAACAGGAAGGTTAATTTGTTTAGATGTTTGCCTCCAAATGTGAGAGCTGGAATCACAAGGCAAAAAGCAGACATTAGTGCTCAGCCTTGTAACCACCATAAACTACCTCTTGGGGCAAGAAAGCCACTGAGCTTATATAGATAGCAGCCAACCAATGAGCAAACAGCAGATGCTCCTGTACACTGCAGAGTGGCTCTTCAGAGGGGAAGGTTTCCAAACAAGCTAATCCAACACTTTAGTTTTCTAGGAAGATCATTGATGGGAAGTGAGAAATAGACTCTATACCTTTCCACTCCAAGGTCAGTACTTCCCCACAAATGCGTAACAAACCCCTTAATCTCCTTGACACTCAGATGTTCCCATTTATGAAATGGGAAATGGGCCAAATGATTTCTGCGGGTCCTGGGCTCTATATTGTACTGTGTGTGAGAAAATGAAAGTTGAATGGTTTATAGATGATGTGCAGAGAAGTGTTACCTTCAGAAAAGACACTAAAGAAGAGATGTTAGTTCCTTATGATTGAAATTTCTCCACATTTTGAGTTGTTACCTATGGCCCAATATGCTCCTCTTTAGGATGTGAGATTTGGTTTGATCGCTTGCCTAGAATCAAATAACAGAAGCAGCAATATTAAATATATAAATCAGGACTCTTGTAGCATTTATATGTCCATATCTTCCATTCTCAACATTTGTTTAGTGGATTAATGCTTAAGGAAAAGCCATTTATGTTTCATTGGCCAGAATCAACTTATTTTCCTTTTGCTGTTTCTAGGAAGCTTTAGGCAAGACTTTTAAATACTTTCTTAGGCACCAAGTTGAGTGCCTGCATGTCAGTGCCAAACAGCTCTATGTGACTTTTCCCTGTACAAATTTTCCATTTTTCATATAACTCATTTTTCGCTTTTAAGTTGGGATCCTCCCCCACTTCATCCAGTGGTGTGACCTGTTTTGATGTACGTCCAGATGGTGGGAGTTGTAATAGAAAGTTCCCTGTTTAGAGGAACTGGTTGGCGCACTCACAGTCAAACCTTTGGGTCCAGGGATCGTGGGATCTATTTCAACCACTGTCTCCTATCCAGCTTCAGGAATCTGCCAGTGAGTACATTGAATACCAAGTTACAGCAGATTGATTAGAATTAACTGCATTCTAACTCTTAAAACATTTAACTAAGATCTAAGCCAAATGGATGTTGATCTATCAGAAGATAACCCTTAGTTAGGTCCCTCCTTGAGAGGAAGTTCTAACTTCAAAAATGAATACAGGCCTTGGAGTTAGATATTCCCTGGTTCATATCCAAGTTCTACCAGTTACTAGTTGTACATCCTTGGGCAAGACGTTTGCCTATTAAAAACTTCTGAATCTTAAAGGCCTGTTGCAAGGAAGATTCAATTAAATGAGATCTGCTTACAAAGAGCATGGCACACAGTACCCACACAGGTGGCATGCAATAAATGGTGACTATAATTATGCACATTTGGTCTCCCCATACTAAATGCCTTGGCTAATTGTGGCTTGAATGATTTTTGTGTTCCCAACCCCAACTGCATCTCACAGGACACCAGGTATGCAGTAGATTCTCAGTGTTCGTAGGAAAAGTATGAAAATGTGCTCATAAAAAACAAGAGGGTAAGAAATGTAACTGTTTCCCAGAAACCTAATTTCTGATTCTGAGTTGCCATTTTGCTTTAGTGATGGGAACAAAAACATAATCTTAGTGCTTCTTGGATTTCATCCTGGCTTATTTTTTCTTCCAGATGCACTGTAATTCCAGGCAAGTGCAGTAATTTTACAGACTGTGTTTATTCAGGTAGTGTGGGGATGAGTGGGGGATATATCATCCAGTACTTGGTCAGTTGTTACCATTTTGTCCCTGTGCTTGGTTATCATGATTTGCCAGACTTAAGATATGAGTATGTGGGCTAAGAGGTACCTGTGGTACTAAGGGCATCCACACATGTTTCTCTCAGTATCTAGGTCCTCTGACTAACTAAACTTGCCTTCTCTCTTCCTCTACATTCCACTCCAAAGACTCTGTATCATCTCTAGAAGAGGATGGAAATCCAGTTCTTGTTCTTTTGGACAGTATCATTACCCAATTCCTGTAG